TCGACATGCGCTTAGAAGGCTTCTCGATATTTTCTCTTATTTTCAAACACCCCTATCTTACCACAAACAGTCTAAATGGACATGAATCATACGTAGTTTTAATGATCAGGCTTTTTAAACATCACATACACACTGTGTCTCATGGTCGAGCAAAGCACTGAAGATCAGCTCACCTCAGCAGGTCTGAGTTCTCCTCAGTGAGGGGGAGCGTGTTCTTGACAGCTCCCCGGCCCTGAAGACATAAGATGTATCTGTATCTTACATGGAGCATCTGCCAGGTACAACAGTAGCTACATCCCCTGTGGAGATGGTATGTTTCCATCCAACAAATATCACAGTTAACTTTATTTAAAGGCACAATCTGTGAGCCTCGGTACAGCGCAGCAGCTTTCTGCTACTCAACATGTTCACTCGTGCATATCGTTTCCCAAAATAAAGCAGTATTTATTAAGGGTCAGTGACAGGCCATATTAAAATATGCTGTGATATAATTAAAACGTATAATAGGTAATGATGATGTATATGCAGTATTTTTATATTGCAGCTGGATGGGAAGGACATGTTTTTACTACATTACAGAATTTAGATTTGTTTACAGTGTATCAATTCATTATGTGTAAAATCTATATATTTATCTGTTCAGTGACTCGCCCTGTTTGTACAGTTGTAGTCATGGTGGGCAGCTGTGGCTCAGTTGGTAGTCGGTTGTCTCCTAACCTGGAGGTGTAGGGGTTCAATACCCATCTCCTGCAGCTACATGTCCAATGTGTCCTAGGGCAAAGACACTTAGCCCCAATTTGCTCCCGCTGCTTCATCGGTGGCTTTATGTGTATGAATGGGATTAGTTACTTCTGATGGTCTCACTACATCCTCCACCATCAGTGTGTGATCAGGTGGGAATGGGTAGGTGTGACCGGTGTTGTAAAAGCGCTTTGAGTAGTCAGAAGACTAGAAACGAGGGATAGAAAAAAGATGATATTTGCCTTTGAAATACAGGTCAGTAGCGCTGGCAATATTGACCTGAAAAAATCAAGTAAATTAAAAGGATCTCAACTTAAATGTCAATTTATTTTAATAAATATCAAGATATTTCGGTTATTCCCAAAATAATGTTTAAAAAACAATTTGGAAATACTGTATCTTGCTTCCATATCATTGATTTAAATGTTCAAACTAATTAAAGAATAATAAACTAAATGGATTAACTGTAGTGTAGGGATTTGCCCAATAAGAAAACAATAAGATAACAGGTGTGGGACGTGGATCCCCCCCCTGCATGCAGACGCAGGTCAGGCTGCTGCAGGTGTCTGCTGCCCTCTGTCTGTGTGGAGGTCTTCACTGCAGCTCTTCACGCTCAGTTTTAATCAAATCCTGCCAGAAGCAGTTTGTTTGGTTTGTGGTTTGTGCTCAAAAGGGCGACTACTTCAGATTCATATCATTCTGTGGTTTAGACACATTTCCACATGATGGAGTTTGTTGTTATTTGAACTTCAGGCAGCAACTGTTGTGATGTTGAACTTCTGACTCATATCTGTGTCTTGGTTGAAAAAGTGTGTGTGTTGCAGCTGTGATGCACACAAGACCAAAGTGGATAAAATATAAGATCATGTATATTAGCCATTGAAATAAACCCATGAACTGTTCAGCTACTGAGAGGCTGTATGTCATCAGAGGGACAACTTTTAAATCCTCTATACGACTAAGGATGCAAAACTGAGTTATCTTTAGATATCTAGATCATGAACCACAATGTCAAATGAAATGTTTTCTGCCGATTTTGCAAGGGGAAGTGTAGCAGCGGCATGAAGGCTCTTGGGGGTGTTTTGTTGTTTTGTGTTGATTTAGCATGAATCAGCTGTTTCCCTCCCTCTCCTAGATTTACATTCACACCCACATTGTATAATTCAATTCCAACTACTTTACATCCTAAGTAAGCTTTATAATGCAACAATAAACAGACCTTACATATTGAGTTTAAAGATGCTCTGTTACAAATTTTTACTCTGGGTTTCTACAGTGACTGCTGAAAGTGTCTGCACGCGATCACTACAATCTCTGTGCGCGTAAATAAACGTCTGCATTCTGTTTTCTGTTCATCAGTATGTTGTTCTCCTCTCTTTTGTGGATGTTTTCATTCCATTGAATTACACATAGCATTGATATAAAGGCAAATATTCTCATTATAACGTTGGGTAGCAGACTCTGTTGCTTCGGCCGCTACTTCCCCGTCGTTTTTTTACAACACATTTTACCTCAGGAAATCCCCCGATCCCCCCTCCCCCTCTGACAGGGATAGTCCCCCGCTGTGAGGAGCATATGTGAAAACGGCTTTAGAGAGAGAGAGAGAGAGAGAGCGATAAATAGATAAAACCTGTAGCAAAGATCGAATGCAGTTCACAAATATATTTATATAAACCTGAGAAATGAAGGCTGAGGTTCTTTTCAAACAGCAGCTCCCTTCTTTTCTTCCCACTGACTGACTTTCTAATAAATCCATCAGAGAGAGAGATGCAGGAAAAACACAAGTAGAAAGTTTGAATGGTTTCAAGACTTGTTCAAAGGAAGACATAATGTGCTGACTTCCCTATTTTTTAGACCTTTCCAACAGATTAATCCAGGGACGCTGAAAATAACACTTGAGTTAGGTTGAGTCAGGCTCAGGGAAGTTTACTCCTACCTCAGCTTAGGAGAGTGTCTCTCTCAGTCAGTCCATCAGGAAGTCATCTCTATTAACAGATTCTACACATTAATTTAGAATCTGTTCAGTGAGGTCTGGATTTGAGCTGTGTCGGGCAATTACATGTCGACAGCCTTATATGTACGCAGGAAAAACAGTCCTTGTGGACAGCAACAAACAGGTGTAACATGATCTGTGAAAATGACACACATAGCAGATATATTCAAGATGCAGGTGACAACCGATTATAGAGCAACAATGATCAATCTGACCTCCATTCAACAAACAAACTTTTTAAAAGTAGTTTTCTTCTCCTCTTAAGGACAGACCTGACAAATCTTGACTTTTTATTTTTTACAAATCTTCAATATGATGTTTTTATTTCAGCAAACTTATTTCCTGTTCATTCTGTTAATGCTTTAGTCTTTTCAAGCATTCACTTAAATCAAAGTGAAAAGACACGTTTTAAGAACTGTATAAAATTTGTTTTATATATATATGAATTTCAGCAACACACAAAAAAAAAAAACTACTACAGAAAATATATAATCAACTTCCGGCATTAGCATCTGCAGCTAACTGGATCCCTCTCATCAATAAATAACTCCCTGGAGATCCTCACAACTGATGTAAATTGCTGCCAGTGTTCTTATGATTTGTAAGCAGAATAATTGTGTCATTTTAATATAAATATTCAAGCTTAAAAAAGCCCAATCCAAACTTAATGACGAGGAAAGTTAAAGGACTTTGATACGGAATAAGATTTAAAAAACTGGAGTGAAACAATTTTCTAATACTTTAAAACACTTAACATTATGTAGGCTACATAACATAATATTTTGGGTTGCCAGGGACTTTGATGTTCTCCTAAATTAATATGTATCAACAGTGTTTCCAATGTTTCTCCTTACATTCAGCATGCGTTATGTTCATCCGCTCTTTGGAGGAGTTGTTTAAATCAAGCTCCAGTTCAATAAGTTAAAAAAGTCTTCATCTCTGCCCCCTCATTTCCTCCACAGTATGAACGAGCATCCCCATGTAAACATGTTATGTTGTTGTAGTAATGTTTACGGCTTAGCAATAATAGTAGATTCCAGTCTCGCATTCCTATATTACCACAGTGCGCATCCAATCAAATGCATGTTTACACATCATCAATCATTATGGGGAGGAAAACACATTCCCGTGTTTACTATAATGATTCGGTTTCTGCCGCAAACTTCAGTTAATCGGCATAATTATCTTAATAACCTCTGCTCTGTGTGTCAACTTCATTCACTCACCGTAACAGTGGATCTGCGCTGTGATCGTCTCTGCAGCTCTACATTCCATATCTGTAGAAGTTTATGTCTGATAAGAGGGATAAAAATATCGCTTGCATAGCTTGAGATTAGCAGGAAAATGTGGAGGAGAAAGATGCTGATGTATTTGTTTTTCTTTGGATGTCAGTTTTATGATTGTGCATAAATCACAGTTTCTTTAATATAAGTCTGTATATGGTTCATACAGCTGGAGCAAATGTCGCTTTTCTTTTTTTCATGATAGTCATACAGGGTGTCAAAGCTGCACATCAGATTGGTTGAACAGACTGTATAGTCATAGGTGGTGTAGGTGCATCGGTACATGTCAGGTGTATGTGAGATTTCACACCCACACTGCGTTCACATCACCGGTGTCTTCACTGTGACTTTTTTTCACTCAAACTGCCTTATTTCTACACCGTATGCAAACTCAAATACTGTCCGTTTCTCCCCCTTAAAAAAACACTGACACTGTTTGCACTGAAAGACTTGATTTATCAAACTCAGACTGCTGAAGCGTCAAATTAAAGAAAAACAGTCCAGTCATTTTTAACCCTCAAAGTCTGTTTAAACATGTTGGACTACATGTAAGGCGTATTATCTTAACCTATCCTTTCACTAAACATTTCACAGTATAAAATTAGGTTTTGCTTCAGGTTCATCAGCTAGGATGTAAAGTCTCTGCTCCCAAAATGCAGCTACCCTCCAAAGAGGTTTAACACGCGAGCTTCTAATTAACAAATAAACAAAGAGTCTCAACAAGAGAAAAAAAAAACAAATTGAAGTGTTGTTGTCAGTCGTAGCGGCGGTGTTAACTTTGTGAGCCCACCGTAGAGAATGTGCCACAGACCAGTGGAGCAGAAGTGGAATTCCACGTCTGCAATTATTGAACAACAGGGTGCAAAAGAAGTATTTGAGCTGGAAAGGAGGAACGAGTGGGAGGAGTGCGCACGAAGTCAGGCAAGGGCAAGAAAGTTAGGAAAATAACAAAAAAAAAAAAAAAAAGCAATGACTCAGTCTGATCACATTTATTTTTATGTCTCTGTTTACTTTATTCTAAAAGAAACAGACAGGGGTATACTGTAAATGAGATGATACACAACATCAAGGAGGTAAATATTAGAGAAAGGAATGGCATGGTAAATAAATGCAGGCATCAGAAGGGCTTTTGAACACTCAGCTAACTGGTGCTCTTTAGTACAGGAGACGGCACAGTACAGTACATCCTCAGAGCCGATAAGACAACGACTCTGTCATTCACACCAAATCATAATCAGCACATTACAAAAACAAAATCTACTGGGTATATCCTCAATCCAGGCTACATTGAAGCAGGCACACAGCGTCTCACAAACAGTGGCATAAGGCACTATATGCTGAAGATCTAGCATGTGTATGTGTTCGTTGTTTCATAAGTGGTACTGTAGAGTAGCTTCACATTCAGTTTCAGAATTCCAACAATAGAAAAAGCCATCCAGAAATGCTGGCAGAGGAACTATAGACACACATCCCTCAGACGGGATGGGATAAAGAATCCTTGAAGTCAAAAACAAACATGTGCACAAACATGTGTTATAAGGCACTGTAGTAAAACATTATATATGTAGTAAAAAAAAAAAAAGAAGAAGAAAAGAATAAGGTGGTATATACACCCGGGCATTTTAACAATGTTATAGAAAACATACCCTGAATGAATGTCTCTCCCAAAGTCAACAAAACAGACAAGACAGAATCTGATCTTTGTCAAACCGCCGAGACTATTTCTCAAACACCCAAACAAATTGAACATTGAAAAACAGTTTAATTCATGTTGTATGGTTGCTGTGCATTACGTCTTTCATTAATGGTGTCTGTTTGTCTGTTTTGAATTCCTCTGTGAGAGGGTTTTTTTTTTGCCTGTTGACAGAATCTAAACCATGGTAAGGCCAGAAGACTCTCCCAAACTACAAGTACTGCTCCCTTTTCTCTGGTGGGGTACTTTTAACATTTGGTCTGCAATTCAAAAGGGAAAAAAAAGACATGTTTCAGTCAAAGTACAGTCACAGCAAACAAAACAAACCGCAGAAGAGACATTTACACACACACATAAAAACTCAAGAAAAATCAAAACCCAGAGGTCATAGGATATAAGTGAACTCATAAATCAGCGCAACAAAACCACAAAGGGTTTCAAGAAATTGTTAACTTTCGACCAGTGAATGAACAGAGCCGGCTTGTGGGTGGTGTAGCAGAGGGTTGACAGGTTTGAAATGGAGGCGGTCACCTTATCTCTGAGTTTAAAGGTCAGATCATGTATCCTTAAAGAGTCCATATTTACAGAAAAAAGGCTCAGAAAGTAGGGGGAAAATGGGAGAAGACAATTCATCTAGTTTCCCACTAAAACTGATAAGGTGCATCTGTAGTAATGAGGAGAGGGGGAAAATTCTGCTACAAGAGGTCCAAATTTAGGGGTCTAAGAGGTAACAGGAAAAAAGGGGGGGAAGACAGTGGTCGGAACAGTCCTCGATAAAAAGGCGGGGGCTGATCAGTCAGGGAAACTAGTTTCACTCAACAACTCTGCCCTGAATTAGAGGAGAGAAGAAGACAGTCAGAGAAGAACAGGATTAGAGGACGCGAGGGGAAAATAAGAGACACATCAAGACCTCTCAGATTCTCACAAACAGCTTTGAAGTGTTAGAAAGGAGGAACAGATGAACGATGAGTATGACGATGAAGACGTGAGCAGAAAGTCAGTGAGAGAGCGTGGATGGTGCTGCTACATGTTGGCCAGCGGTAATCTCTAGATTACTTCAAATAAATACAAACAATGCTTAACTTAAGCTAACTGATGGTTTCTAAAATATATTTAAGGATTAGTTTGATCTCATTGGTTGAGACCTTTTTTGGTTTGCTTGAAAAAACCCATTGACAAACTATGCTACATGCTAACTATCACATCAAAACTCATTTTAGAAAAGATCTGGGTTCAAGCAAAACAGTAAAATATACTAATACCTCAAAAAGTATTTTATACTGAAGCCCAAAGAGGACACACATCCATACATTTTATTATACTCCCTTTTTCTTTTTAGCGATAATGACTTACTGGCTGCTTTCTCGATATCTCAACTTGTTTATTTCCCTATCTCGCTTGGTTTCCCATGATATTGACTTCACTTCACAAGATCTTTAAGAAAACGACTGCAATCTATTTTTATCACTGAAAATCCCAAGTATAAATAATTTGGATGCATGTTCGCTCAGGGCTTCCGTACTTTTTCCATTTTCTTTTCTTTGGACATATCTGACCAGGTCATTCCATCAGGCGAGTTGTTGAGCCTTTGCTATTCAAAGCACAGCTGCTACTGACAGACCAGTGACGTCTGACATCCGCCTTTATTTAAAGGGCACGCGGACTTTCCTATAGACGCACAACCCCACCCCCAATCTGAGAATAATAGAGCACTCCACAAACAAGTGTCTACCAAGAAGAGAGGCTGTATGACCCGGAAACGGGGGGACTGGGGGCGATTCTAAGACGCATTAATGGCTTCATTATCTTGAACAGTGATGGAGAAGCTCTTTTGAAAAAAACACAAATACAGGGGCCGTGACGTGGGAGCATGAAGGGGGAACTCAAGAGCCAATTTAGGCCTGCTGTTGAGTTTTAAAGGCTCTTATGATGGGAAGGTTTTTAAAAAGTTGGTTGCGTCTATTGTAATACATGTAGTAGTCTATATTTGTAAAAAAAAAAAAGTAGTTAATTCTATTGCAGTGGAGTTAGATATGACATGATTAGCTTATGGTCCACTTTTAAAGTAATGTTAAATATCGCACTCCTGTTCTATAGCTTATGATGATCAGACCTGTGTGAGAAGTCGATGAAATAGCTTAAATATTTGTCACTCATGTGTTTGTACAAGAGATAATGAAATCAACGTAGAATGATGGTGTTAGTAAATGGAGAACAGTTATGTGTGTTAGTGAGAACCTTCACGTTGTCCAAGTGTAAAGTGTTGAAATGATCATTGACAGTGTTCATAATAAGGACAAACTCAATACACATCTTTTAACCAGCAGTTCACCTCCACTCCTGCAGTGCAGACTGTGTGTATGATGTGCAGCTCTCAATGAGTAGGCCTAATTCTTGTATGATTCAGGACTATATCAAGACTAGGTCCTTTTAAAGTGAGGATGTTCCTCGGCGATTATCAAATGGCTGCCTGAATCTTAATTACACAGGACACTGAAAGCACCCCGGAGCTGTCTTTGAGTAAGCTGGATTGCCAAAGCTTAAGTTGTAGTTAAGGAAAATTGGGTTTAAAAAGCTGGTTATGTTTTACTCAGTTAATTCTGGCTTTCTGCTTCAAGGTTGTGTTCTCTCTCACACAAACTCACATTTTTTAAACTCTTCTACCATATGAAAGTGTTCGATCACCGGCTGTCTGCTTCTGTCAGACTGAAATAATGAGAAGTCATGATGAATATATAAGTTGTAAAAAAAAGAAAGAAAAAAACATTACGATGGAGGCTGTAGAAAATAATTGGTGTAATTCATATATTTATCAATTAGTTAATTTGCCGTATGACAAACTGTTTATTTCTAATGTGGCAATACACACAATGCAACTGTTAAACTCTTGACACACATTAGCTGTATTCATCAAGCTATGGTCTCTTTCCAATAGGTTTTTTATTTTATTTTTTACCAGAATTCTGCATTGGTAGTAGTTTTATTTTTTAAGACTTTAAGTATTTAGCAGTTCTTCATCAAAATCTCTTTCAGAAATTCAGGCAACAACCGGGTAGTCTTTCTGAGTAAAGTCTGTATTTTGTCTTCTTAGTTCTAATTACTCCACATCTTGCTTAGCTTTAGATTAAAAACATGTTTTCGTCATAACGTCAGCGTAAATACGACAAACTAGATACTCGCACTTGCACCAGAGTAAAACTTATTGCAAAGGTTCCTCTATCCTGAGTCCGTATTGCTCTCTGTTAAGCTGCAGCTATATGCTTTGAGTCTGAGCAGGTGAAATCAGTGTCCTCTGCAATCGCTGCTGTTTTCTCAGGTGAGATTGTACAGGCCAGCCTCTGTTTCTCCCACAGCTGCAGAGGAGCCGCTTTGTAACTTTCCCAAGTTTTTCTGAGCAGTGATTGGGGCTCCTGCTTGACACAACTGAACTGCACCAGTGGAGTGTGAATACACACAGAGCAATATGAAGGCAAACCACAGATTGAAGCGCCAACCAGGAAGCAGAGGACATGCTAACGAAAGTTCAGTGGTACTATATCAGTATTTCTAGCTCCAATGTCCAGTCTTTCCATGTATCTTCTCTGATACTTGTTATACTTTTCCTTTCATTAATAATATTTGCAAAGTCCCAGTACTGGGTAATGTGTTATACTGTATGTACTGTATGAGCACCTGTGTTTGTACATGCCAGTAAGTGAGTACCTACATGATTGCATGATTATTATTTTTTTTACAGTTATAATACTAAGAAGAAGAGGGGCAGTAGTGCCAAATGTGTCCTATGCTCTCTGTTTGGGAGGCTAATTGAAGGGGTGGGTGGGTTTAGACGTACTCCCTGGTTGTGGAAGGCTGTGATTGGCGGTAATATTGCTGCCCTCGCATCTCTTCTTTAGAGCACGAGCAGCACAGCAAGGAGCCGCCCAGAACCGTCAGACTGGCTGCTGCCCAGCCTACAAACAGGGCCGAGCCGAACTCATACCTGTGGAAGAAAGAGAAGGGAAACGCTTTTAGGATGATACGTACAGTGTCGGCTGTTTTACTGCTTTCACATCATTTGTGTAATTCCAAGAACCAAGATATGAGAAAAGTTATAAAAGAAGGTAAAGAAGGATCGAGAGCAACCTCTCTGATTCCCAAACAAACCTGACTTTTAAAAGAGCCAATGAAACTGTCATGAGATTTCTCCCACAACATTTCTGCATTTGCTAATTTTCAGAAGGTCAATGTTTGATGGAAAGCAAAAGCATCCCCAACTAATGCTATAAAAGGAACCTTTTCTTTGGGGTTGGTTTTAGGCATTGAGAGCTGCACACTGGAAAAAAAATACTAGTTTAAGCTAGCCATATTCATTAGCTATAATAAGGAAACATTAGCAGTTGTTCTATGAATGACAGCCATCATTTAGATATTGTTGAAAACTTACACTTTGCATGATTAGCAGCTTTAATAAGGAACTTTAAGCAGATAAACCAAGCCATATGGATAATGAATAATTTTCTGTGCATCTCCTTGGCAAGTTTTTTTTATAGCAACTGAAGCTGTATATGTTGATCAACCGACTTAATATAAGTAGTAGTAACCATTTGAGCTAAGCTAACCACTTGTTCAGTTGAGTAATTGGTAGCAGTTAAAGCAGTGATGGTTATCACCGACAATTAAGCAATCTTAGACGCTTTAGTTCATCATCAATCACCACAATTAAGGTGATTAATCACAGAATGAAGGTCTTTTCGCTGGCAGCACCAACAAAAAACAGAACCAATAATGTAGTAAAGCACTCAACATCCTGGGTGCAGAAATGTCCTGTATTTTTTGCCACTGCACTCAATGGAATCTTTTTCCTTACCGACCAATCATAATAAAGAGGGGCAGGGACATTTTATTTCAGCTCAGTAATACCAGCCGGCTTTCATTTTCCAAATGGCTCTTCATTTATTACCATTTTGTCCTTACTAAATCATCCAACTTTAGCAATGTTTTCACCTATGATTGAGATGTATGAATGTATTTTCTTGACATTTTTCAATCTAGTTATACCAAACCGTACTATTCCTTGAATAAAACTATTTTACATGATGTTTGATATAAACGTTAATGTTATACCACTGAGCACTAGGTGTGCCTGTGGGCGAGTGGTGTTAAAAAACGGTCATTGTTTTATTCCGTTTTGTATTAAACAATAACAAAAAAGGCGAAAAAGGAAAACAAGCTAAAAACAGGAGCCAGCTTCCGTCGTTCATTAAACAGAGGAGGCTTTTTTGTGACTGAAACATCACTAATCAGCTTTTTTAAACAACATTGGTGGAGGAAAAACTAATCTGACTCGACTGTTTGATGTTACAATTTCCAGGTCCAGAGCTGCTGCTAATATCGGCCACTACTGATGAAAGTAGAAGTTAGTTTTCGTAACATAGCAACAATAGGTGCTGATGAGAAACGCTCTGAAAATGGGGTCATGAGCACTGTTGACTGACACAGACTCTTAAGCATGGATCACTGTTGAGTACAAGCCTCACATCTATTCTAACTAATGTAAAGCATGCATAATGACTGAGGGAAATGACTGAATGTCATTAGTATAATATAGTACAGTGATATAACAGTATTGTATAACATGGGGCCAGAGTTGTTGAATCATTGCATTGCCATTATGTAAACACTCAACAGATAAGCATGGAGACAGATGTCTTTCCTCTCTATCAGTTTCTCTTCTCGTCTTCTGCACATCCTCTTCTCAACATGAATTCATCGCTCAGCTGCACAACAGTCACACAGCTTGTTATACGCATAATAAGTGACATGAGTAAGAACTTTTAAAATGGGTTATTTATCCAATGTGCTTTATACTTTCGTTTCTCTAGATACAATTTGAATATTTGGATTTTTATGCCTCAAACCGAACTAACACGTTTTCAGTCGACTGAATACTCTGCCAATGTAAAAGACACTATGGCATACACTGATGAGCCAAAACATTATGACGTGCAATCCAATACAATCAAATACAAAAGCTCAACTTGTGCAAAGCTTTCTGTCGATATGGTCAGAATGGTGATAAGAGGCGGCTGTGGCTTAGTGGTAAAGTCGGTCGTCTCTCATCCAGGTTTGGGGGTATGATCCCCAGCTCCACAGCCAATTTCCTATGTGTCCTTGGGCACGACATTTAACCCCTAATTGTGTCCTGCTGCATCGTCAGCTGTGTATAAATGTGTAGAATGGAAATAGCTAACACTGATGGACACTTTACGTAGCAGCCTCTGTCATCAGTTTGTGAATGTGTCGGTGTGACCTGCTGTGTAAAAGCACTTTGGGTAGTCAGCAGCCTAGACGTGCTCATGATGGATAGGCCGGGTCTTTGTAATATAGCAATAAGTAAGGTCTTTTTACCTGCTCTTTTGTAATGTTAACAGACAAAGAGTAAGGTATTTTACCTGCTTTTTGTAAAGTGTCTCGAGATAACACTTGTTATGAGTTGACGCAATACAAAATAAATTGAATTGAATTGAATTGAATTGAATAGAAAAGCGCTATACAAGCTCAAATCTGTTTACCATTTACATTAAAAACACTTGTTAATGTAATGTGTTCCAGTACACCACCACAATGACTTCAATGACTTCTTTAAAGATGAAGTAGAATCATCACCTTTTTGACTATTTGACAAAAAATATAGAAGCTTCGTAAATGTAGAATTTATAGAGCTGCTGTATTGGATTAGATTGTACAGGTGATCATAATGTTTCACAGACAAAGCTGAATAAGCTGATTGTGTCAAATTTAACATCAGTCATTAAAAGGGCTCCAATGCTAAAAAAAAAAAAAAAAAACGTCAAAATTATCGAAACTTCCATTTTTACTGTTGATCTCAAATATTGACAGCAATGCTTGTGATGACATTTGATTGGCAACAATATTTGGATTTTATACAAGTCACTATAAAGGAGGTTACACATAAACTCTCTCTCCGAGTTAGATCCATAGAAAGTGTTAAAGGTTAGAGTTGTTCAGCACTTCGGTTACATACCTGGCGTTGGGCGGTGTATTTGGGTTGAAGAACTGGTAGGACACCTGAGTGCCATACCAGGACACAGAAACCAGTGTACATAGCCCTGTCGAGAGAGACAGAATAAGTTAAAGTGTGTTACATTACTTATAGCTAAAACAACACACAAATGAATAAGATAAATCCTTCCTCTGTTAATTTCTCTCCTCTGGGTCTTGTGGTTTATATCTGAGGTCAGCGGCTAATGCCTCTAAAATGACCACTTCCTGTTTACAGCAGGGACTCTAATTACTGAAAAGACCCCCGGTGAGAGACTCAGGCTAGGAAAAATTCCAGACCACTCTTGCTTAATGCACTGCTTTAGAGAATTACAGCTGTTTATCTTTGGTTTCAAACTGACACAGCGCAACAGAAAACCTACCTGCGAGAACAAAGAGAGCCCCTCCAGTGACAGCAATGCGGGTTTTGGTAGTTGGGTTGTTATCTCCCACCTTAGTGCACTTCATGCCCACCACGCTGACGATGATCCCGATAAAGCCCAGCAGTACTGACACTACCATGAGTGCCCGACATGTCTGGATGTGGACTAGATAAAGAAAAGGAGACAGGAGGCAGGGAGCACAGAGGGGAGCACAGAATGATGGATGATAGTGATACAAAGGAAGGAAAGAGGAAATAAGGGGGAAAAGGGAGGATAAGAAAACAAATAGTGCTTTAGTCAATCACTTAGTATAAAGAAAACATTTCTAGAAACAAAATGACCATTACGAAAATAAAGCGTCACAGCATGAAGGATTGATGGGCGACCACATGTATTTGTGGCTAAAAGCTCATTAGGGCGAGTCCACCACTGTCCTACTTTTCAGCAGGATGTTTTCCTCTCTTTTAAATTTCAATAGGTGACCCTCTTGGCCAAACTCTTTGACCTTAAACGATCCTTTAAATCGTCACCACATCATTCCACTGTGGTTTTTGCCTTTTCAAAAATCTAATGTGCTGCCCACACGCAGGCGTCAGATCACATAACTCAGTGGGAGGAACATATTTACACAAACACATATGTGCAGATGCACAATATCTGCACACAGGCAATAACTGTAGGTGGGAGAGACATGGATGAAACACAGAAGTCTCTCTCTCACACTGAGCAGCTGTAGGAGGGCCTGCTTTACATGCTTCACACAGTGGGATTAGTGTGGCTTTGTCACAAAGCAAGATTGTTTTCACGGGGCCGTCGCCACAGCGATCAGACATTACTGCCTCAAACGCAGCCGCTCACAACTGTATTGAAGCGAAAGCAGTGCTAAGCGCTTAATAACACTGTCAAAATACTGATGGAGAGCGTCTTATTTACAAAAACCGAGGGGATTGTCGAAATCCCAGCGGCGGCGGTAAACATGCAAACTCCAATAACCTGGTCTGATATGTGACAAAGCTGACAAATATGGTAATTAAAGTCAATATATCAAAGTTCCTCACACACAAGGTCTCAGACATTAACTTCAAACAATAATGACTTAAAGTGTGATCCAGTGTTTGAGCATGAAGAGAGAAAATACAAATTGAATCAAAGCCACAGAAAAAAAGAGATACAACAGATTGATTTGACAAATCCAAGATTCCCTCCCTATTGACTTTTTCTCCAGAGCCACAAAGCCAGTAATTGTTTTACTACTTCCACTTCTTTCTTCCTTTTTTTTTTTTTGGGGGGGGGGGGTTGTTGCAACTAACGTTCTTAATTCACATGAATAGTTAACAATGGATTTGGACACTAGTTAGCCCTTAACCCTCTATCTCAGTCTTCAGTTTAGCCAGTAAATGATCTCATTTTTCATACTTGGGGTCATACATCCAAATACATATTTAAACTAAACTATATCACCTTGATGTCCCATGAAAATGAGCATGCCGCCTCCCATGTAGCTTAGACACATGGTTAACTAGAGACCTGAGAAGATAACATCGCAATAGATATATTTGTTTATTCCTGATGTCATGTGAAGTTGTTACTGTAATGTTTGAAGCTTAAAGTCATTTTTTCATCCTTTGCTAGCATCTTTAATAAACATCGGCTGTTATACCTTTATTATCAGGTTGATTTTTAAACAGTTTCTCTGTTTTAACCAGCTTACACATTGATAAGACAACACAGCATCTGCTCCAGCTTCATTGCTTAACGTTAAATATCAGCTTGGTTCATTCATCAATAAATCAAGAACATCTTGACTTTTCTACAATGAAAGTATGACAATCCTGAAGCCCTCATACATATCTTCTTTTGATTGTTTCTTTATCTAATTGCACCACACCAAATTATTAAATTTCAAACAACTTAATGATGTTTAGTGACTTTTCTAATGGTATTTATATCATAGTCAAGACTGAGCTTTGGCATTACACTTAAATGCATAGAGCTTATCAGCATACAACAGAAAATAATAGCAACTTTTTCTTTGATATTTCAACAACAGATGGTTTTCTTCATTACTCTTAATAAAGAGCAGGAAGGGAATCAATGTAAAACATTTTTGCATGTACATTTTTTAAGGTCAGGGTTACTTACTTTCACATTAACTAGATTAGTTTGACAGAAGGTGGTTTTAGCTGGTTATGAAACAGACTGGAATTAAAAGTGATTTCCTGAAGCAAACAAGCCCATCGGCATAAAGATTTATAATTGTTATATGGTAGTTTTTTAAGCCTGAAAATGCTTCCATGGGATTGGTGTCGAACAAATAATTGACAGTAAGTTGCAAAAACAACCTTCTTATTATTTACATTTTCCATGGCAAAGATTCACAATAAATGATATATTTGACAGTTAAAAAAATGGACGATGAAATTTACACATCTACAGGACCATATAAAAAAAAGAGATAAGGTACAGGTTTGTCCACAGGGGGCGCCAAAATCAACACAATCAGAAAGTTCTACGTCTGAGCTTTAAATAGGGTCCACTAACATGATTTCTTTTGTCAAACTGCTGTCTCAAGGATTCACAGTAATATTAAAATACACTAGCCGAAGATTCAATGGAATTCTGAAAAGGCCTTTTTTAATTGTCGTGACTCTTCATGGAGGTATCTCTTGTGCCAAAGTGTTAGAAGAAAAAGAAGATCACTTCAAGGGGAGCTGTTGAACAACAGCCTTAGCAGTACTCCTAAAGTCATCGTTTGTCATTGTGACAGAAATACACACACCATCATTCATGGTGTGGCAGTGAAGTAGAACTTCAGAAGCCGATCTGAGGGGACTTATGATGGAGGAAAGAGGGTACAACATGTTTGAAGTCTGATTTATGGCTCCAGAGCTCCTTTTGATGGAGTGTCTGAACAGAGAGAGGTTTGATTTCCTTCTCTTTCATCCACTTGGGGGGGGGTTTCTCTTTTCTTCTTAGCGTGTACGGGTGTTTGTCCCATTGCATAGTGACACCACTCTCACCAGTTTCAATCAGTGACAAACCAGTATGGGTGTCCAGGGGCCTTTGGGGTGAAGGAGAGGTTAAGAGGAGGGATAGGAGGGAGGTGTGGGAGGGCTCGCCTCTCTTTCCAGTGCCAAGGTTGGTGGTGCCAGCCACAAGCTTTCAATGAGTGTGTGTGCTAGCTGGTGTGTGTGTAGGCACTGTAAGGTCCCATTGTGAGGTCACTTGTGACTCTGTCGTACGTAATTTGTGTTTGCCCACTCACTACAGAACCATGCATGCATGTATACTCTGCCAATGTGGACATTCAATTTGTCCTAATCAATTATCCTAACTGGTCAATACTAACCTCTAAAAGTTAAAACTGAAACAGACAAGACAAAGAGGTATTTTTCAGGTAGATGTTGATATTGTTCATCATCGCACATTACAGCACTATTCAATTTGGATGGGAACCATTCACTTAACACAATTGAGGACCATTTTGGCCTAACTGAACCTCTTCAATTCATATACTTTTTCAATGTTAAAAGATAAAGATTGTAATGTTCTATAACATCAACAAATCCCATTTAGAGGCAGAAACCAGCGATGGATTGATCCAAACTTAAATGATAGTGTGATGTTTATTCTTTGTCTGAGCCAAAGAGCTCCTTTGTTCTTCTAAAACGATTGAAAAACTCATCAATGAGTCTCATTTTTACATATGGTAGCATGTTTGGTCATTACCAATAACACAGCAGTTCATTTTCAAATATCCTCACCACACTGTCCTGTTGCACAAATAATCACTGGCCCACCAAATGTATTTAAATCACACATGAGATTGGTCCAAAGCAATTGATTATTTGTGTGATGTGTGTGGAAAAAACAGATCGTCTTTTAAAAAGACTGTTAGTGATTTTTCAAAGATGTATGTCTTTAGTAAGCACCAATGAGCTTTGAGCTTTGTATTACTGTGAAGTGAAGTCAGACATTAATGTGAGGCGTACTACACAAGGTTTGTTTCTGGCTTTTGAAATAATTATAGGGCACATATCTATACCTGCTGCATTCTTAAAAGTTAAATCAATGGGCAATGGTGTTGTATAGTGGTGGATTACTGGTTAATTATATTTGATTTAGTTGTATTAAAACTCCCATTGTCCTGTAGTTCAAGTGCTTTTGATTTTTTTCACTTCTGCCTATATGCTTTTTATAACTTTTTCAGTTTTGAACGCATGGTACATTTCCACTGGATACTTGTAAACTTGTGTGGACCTTACTATTAATCACTACTATGGTAGTTACAGACGCTAAAAGCGACATTTTATTTTGTACTTTTTTACTAGTAGCAACTGGTCTCTCATTTACTGATCTCATCTACACAACAAAACAAATCACATCAAGTCTATTTATCTAATTTCTAGTACAAAATATCTAATTTCACTTATTATAAGCCACATTCCCCTACAAAGTCCAGAAAAACATCCTTTTTCAAGATATACAAAGCAAAACATATGGCCTGAATTGCTTCTATTGTGTAAAAACATCTACCAGTGGGACAAGCAAATGTTACTTGTCAGTTGTCGTGAAATGAGATGTACTGACTAATTTAGATAAAGACATTTCAAAACACTCAATAAAGTAAAATGTGTGTCCTCATGTCAAGCTTTGGTTAGCAGAATTTATCTTCAACATGAATGTTAACGCAGACTGGACATTAAGTCGTCTGCAAGGCACACAGCACTTAAGTTAATGAAGGGTGTTGTCGGGGGCGATGTGTCTTTAATATCACGCTCAGATTTTTTGTACTTCTGAAGAGCTGTCCTTTCAGCACCACCATCCACTCCTGTGATAATAACAGCCAACCTGCTCGACCGTGAATGATCCCGATCATCAGCTCCTTCTTGAGCACGATGGTCAGTTAACCTGCAGCTTCCGCTACGCCTGCTACGCCACATCAGAAAGGCGCAGCACAGTCTGGTGAACAATTCAACCCACCATCACATGCTGAATCCTGCTGTGAAACGTAACCAGGGAGAAGAGTTCCTTCATAACTCACATCAGTCTCATGGCTGGATCAAACCAACACCTGAGGGGTGTTTAATCAAGACCCAGACCTGCGGTGCCTTCTGTGAACCCCAGACACATGATTGGATGCTGAGCTGCTCCATTTCCTAATCTGTCTGGGAAACCACCTGAATGAACCTGAGAATGTTTGGTCATGATTTTCCAGTTCAGTGTTCATTCAGATGTGCATGTAGTTAAGGGTTTTTTTTTCTTCAATGTTTGTCTTCTGTCTAAATCTGTATTCACTGGGTGTGTTAATGAACAAATGGAACAATGTGCGCGTGTGGGGAAGACGGAGCGCATTCTGGGAATATCTCTGGTGTTTGGCTCAACACTGCCCTTTTCTTCTCCTAACAGCCTCTATTCATCCGCCAGGACAATACGCTGTTCTTATTGCTGCAACTAACCAAAGGAGATGGGAGATCAGCTCGGGCACCCGTCACACAGACAGAAGGCCTCAGAAAATGTTTTGATATAATGACTCACAAGACACCCAAATGTTTGTAAACTGTTGCTCTAATGGCTAGTGTACCAAAACATGATCAAACAAGGGAGAAAAACAGACGTGTTTAAGGTCTTCAATAAGGCTTTCAAGAAAATGTCTTCTGACCGATGCCCACCCCCCTTTTAGTCCGTCATTAGAATCACTAATAGGGTGATTCAAGCAGACAGTAGATGGATGGATTCCTATAATCTGTGTGTCATTAATTATGAGTCACTGGGTCCTACTTACAGATTAGAGATGACAGGAGGCTCATATTCTGAGCTAATTTATGTCTGAACCCCACATTCCTGACCCCCTCCCACTCCTCACATTTTACATTTCATTTTGTTCTCGAGTTTTAATTGAACTTCATTAAAATTTTAAGAAGCAGCATTATATGGGAGATTTACAGCTCCTGAAAATAATCCGTCCCAGATAGTGAGAGCTTGTTTTGCGTCTGCTGCTGATTTATAAGTGTGGCCAAATGAATGGGCCAACTGTAATAACTGCTGTGATTTATATTAGAGCTCCATGGATTTTTTTTATTTTTATTCAGGGCAACTTAGAAGGACAAAGGGAAGAGAGAAGTTTCCAGTAAATCTTTCTTTAGTCATCTTGGCCAATGACAGCTCATATAGAAATGCTTAATGTAAAACATGACTACTAATAAAATCTAATGAGAGCAGCAATAAAATCTGAAGTAGTGTGCATTCAAAAGACGAATTACCAGGGGGGGAAATAAATTCCCTGGTGATGCCTGACAGGCAGTTTTTGCCTGAGTTTAATTCAAAAGTTTTCCTGAATTATCAAATTAATTATCAGATGAAAGTCTTCTTCCAACACAGTGCCCCATTAACATCTTGCATATTTTGTCTGTTTAAAAATGTTACTTATTAATAAAAAAAATGATAAAACAAGCAAATTGATAATATTCTAATAAAAATCCATTTGGAAGTTCTTCACCAGTTTAACCAAGTAGCATTCAATTGCATCAGTTCACAGTCTTCAAAGGCGAGATATGAGAAACAGCCACTACAAGTCAGGTTAAGCCAAAGTCAAACATCGTACTCACTGTCCAACGAGAGCATGGAGTCAAAGATCTTGCACTGCACCTGTCCTGTACTCTGCGAGGCACAGCTCATCCACAGCCCCTCGTACAGACCCACGGCAGTGATGATGGCATCTCCGGCGTATGACGATTGCTTCCACTGGGGCAAGGCGGTGGTGGAGATGATGCCGATCCAGCCGCCCAAAGCCAGGAAATAACCCAACAACTGGAGACCTGAGTTGGCCATCCTTATCTAGCTCTGACTTCCCTTTGCTCTTTTTACTCCCTGCTTGACTTGCAACAGCTTTCGCTCTGTCGACTGGCGTGTCACCCCTTCCTTTGAGCAGTCTTTGCGGACACACCTGTAGCAATCCTGTCACTTTCTCTTCACTATCTGGTCCCTCTGATCACCTCCGTCTACCTCTCTGCTTTCACTGTCATCTGTAGAACTCCCCTCTTTCTCCTTGTCTCTAACTCCTTCTTTCCTTTGCTTTCCACGTCCTTGGCTGGGACGGTGAGTTGATGTGTCCGCTCAAGGCTGTCCTGTCTGATTCCTTGGTCTCTTAGTGGGCTGAAATGGAGTAAAAAAATGACTTTCTGATGTTCAGTGATTCAGTTCACCAAGCATTGTCGCTGGGCTGCCTCACTCTCTGCATGGCTCCTGCCAGTTCTTTCTATCTCTGCCGCTTGCTTACTTTCCTCCCTCTACAATCTTTCCATCTGCTCTAGGCTCAAGTGGCTCAATGAGGGGTAGCAGGGAAAAAAAGAAAAAAAAAAGCATGTGAATACAAAAAGTCCTTAACAGGATGACCACAGAGGGATGGAGTAAGAGGTTGGTCTGTGATTGGACTCCTCAGGATTGTAGGAACGCCTACTGGGAGGGAAGAGGGCAGCTCTGGTTGAGAGAATAATTACTGTTTTAAACAGGGAGGCAAAGAAAAGGCAAAAGATGTAACAACTTCATTAAATAATGAAGTTGAAATAATAAATTCATCGTTGCATCTTATTCATTCAAATCAAACTCTTCCCAAAACGTCATCATGCTGTTTTAGCAGGTGTTGTGTTCCTTGATCCTCTAAAGTTTGCAGCCGCTGCTGGAGGTGTGGAGGAGGTGGTGGTAAAGTGCAACAAACACGCGTAAATCAGCATCCAAACAATGCCGGCTGAAAAGGACATGTCACATCCAGACAGACTCTCTGGAAATTATGGGCCGCCGAGGCAAGCCTCCCCGGTCACCATGGCAACCCCGACCAATGGAGGGAGAGAGAAAGAGACAGAGCGAGTAAGAGTTCCCCCCACTGTACATCCTGTAAGCGCAGACACACTCCAGTCCTTTGTGAGTGTGTGGAGAGCGCAGAAACCTGTTTTCCCACAGTCGCACATCCTATCAGCTCCGCTTCAACTCCACTCATTAAATTAGCTTCAATCCACCGACTAACTCAATAATTCTATTCGGCCAATTAGGCTGTGGACACACTCGCTCTCGGGGACATGGCCGTTTTCTCACATCTGTAAGAGACATGTCTCACCCCCACCCTGCACAGACACAAACACACTCACACACATATGGCCAGCCTTTCTACATCACATCCATGTTCTTGCATGCACTCTCCAGCTTTTCTTCAACTGACTAAGATTTGGAAAAAAAAGATTACTCATCCACCTCAGCGTCAGGAATAGTTAGAAATAAGTAAAACACATTTGGAAATGTTGGGTGTGTTGGTGGTGAAATTATTCTGCTTTGACATAATCTCTCTCCACTTTTGGTTTTCTCATAGCTGATTCCTTTTGATTGCCATTGTGTTTCCTTCAACCCTGAACTTGAACTTTTTCTACCATTAGAACAACAGGAGCATGTGAACATGCATGTGACCTCACTTATCTGGCACCAAGCATGTCTGTGAACTCCCTTCATCACACACACACATTTGCACACGTATATGGATAGAAAGAATCTCACTTAGAGGTGAACCCATGATTCAAACCATTCCTGGTTTGTTATCCTCAAAGCCTTTCATCTGCTCTGGTCTTACAGATTTTAATATTCAGGGTGTTTGTACGTGTGTGCTCAAACCTTGTGTGTACAGGTTTTCTGTGTCTAATGAGGGGTTTGACATATGGGGTGAGTTTTGGTCGGAGTAAAGGGGTCAGCTGAGCCCGAGAGGCGAGAAGAGATGAAAGAGAAGCAAAACAAGTGCTTAGGTCCAGTGTGGTGGGTGGAGCGGTGGGGGCGTCTTTGAGGCTTTGGAGGTCTTTCTGACTTTGAATCATAACAACACATTACAGTTGGTGAGGTTATGGCTTTGTAAGTGTGGAACTCAATGGAGAAACTTAAATGTCAAACTCTCACTGTGTGTCAACGCCTTAATACTCATTAAATAGTTTTTGATCTGGCATGCAATTGGAAAAGGAATTTTATTTAATTTTATTTGGTTGAATAGGTTTCTTAAGTTCATGACATTTCATGATTTGTGAATTGTCACTCATCTCAACTGTTTTATTCCCTGTACTTTTAGACAGTTTCAGTGAGCCCAATGACATAATGGTACCTCTAACATAGCATGAAACAGTTGACCTTTAGGAGTGTTTGACAAAGAAAGAGACATAAAGGCGTTTTCAAACAGAATTATAGAAATAAAGGCTGGGCCTTACATGTTCTGCAATGAACAAGAAGTTCTGTTTTTTTTTATTTGCTGTTTCAAGGCATTAGAGTCTGGACCAATCTTTGAAGCCATCAGCAATTATTATCTATCATTGTCTGCTATAGAGCAATGGTTCTCAAAATGGGGGTCTGGACCCCCCAGCGGTCGCAGCCACCAAAATAAATTATTGGAAATTGTAGATTTTACCCATTATTGTAAAAAGAAAACCATTTACTTGAAAATTTCTTGTAAGTTACAGGAGTTGGCCGAAAAAACAAAACACCATTTTCCAGATTTGTAAAGATTTCAGATTGTCAGGTTTGTCATCAAGAGGAGTGAACAGCTTTTAAAATGTTTGTTGAATCGAGGTTGGATCGATCCTTTCCGTTGCATTACAGGTAGTTGGGATCTAAAAGCTGATTGGCTTAGTGACACAAAGCAGCAGATTTGTGGCTCAAGTATTACATTTTTAATCTAGAACAGATTGTTAGCTTTACTCTTGAAGCTATCTGATAGAGATAAATGAATCACCATCAGAATACTGTCAGTGGGAGCTGGTAAATCATTATCGCTAGCAGGTTATTATCGCGGATACTTTCTGCCTGTTTTTTGCTCAACATGGGTTCTACAGATTCTACTGCTTAGACACAAGCGTGCCGATACCTGATTGGTCAATACAACTTGGAGTACAAATGGAAAACAGAACACTCTTCATGCTGAAAATCCAGTACAGGTTAAATAGAGGTTGCATTCACATCTCTCGCGGACCGTACTCGAGGAACACCTGGAATCTAGCGCAAGACCACTTCTTCAAGCGGACTCGGGCACAGTACCGGAGTACGGTACAATTATGTACATTTGTCTTCACACTGATCAAATGAACCAAACTTTGGGGTCAAGCGTACTCGTATCCAGCCCCGAGTCCCCACTTTGAAACCACCTTAGGTCGTGACTGTTGCAGGAAACGACTTAAGGCCCTGACACACCAAAGAGACCGCCGGCCGTCATCGCCCTAGTTTTTGCGGTGTGTCCAGCTTTGTCCCTACCAGTCTGCCACAGTTGACCTTTTTTTGATCATTTCCCCATATTGAATCGGAGTGAGCAGTCGCTGGTGTGGTTTGGGGGTAGTAATCTCTCTGATTGGCTGTTCAGCTAAGCGAAACAGGAGAGCCAGTGCACGAGAAGAAATATGGAAGCGCCTCTTCTATTCTTGGTCCACTAATAAAAGACCAAGGGCTGACAACGGCAGTGCCATTTTCAACTTTTTATCAGACATTATTCTCTATTAGAAGTACCTATATTACGAGTGTTGTGCGACAGTGGTGAGAGAATTGTCTTCTCGTATCACAACAACGATTTATTTATTCGCGTTCTTCCTCGTCCTCTTACGGTTTCACCTTTTTGAAATGACGATTACAGACTACCGCCACCTTCTGGCATGTAGAGTTATTGCCTCTCACACATGCGCAAAACATATGTGGTGGTTGGCCGTCGGCTGTAGTCTTTGCGGTGTGTTCTAGTGCAACTTTTTGGCCAAGACAAAAGGCATTGCGCGCCGCAGCACAGGCAGCCTTCGTCGCCACTACTTCTTTGCCCTCTGCTTGGCGTGTCAGGGCCTTTAAACCATGTTGTTTGGCCAAGCACCAAAAACAGTGGTCCAATGGCCAATGGTCCCCGCATCTGATAGCCTGCAAGTATGCTATTCAAGCCTACCAGTTTGCAGTAAGGGCTTTACAATGTGAACCCAAGTTGATAGTACAAAAAAATGATGGTGCATCTTTTATTGCATCACATCGGAGTGGCACATTAGTATGGCTATGAGCACAAACCACAGCAAAAAAAAAAAACTTTTTCTCCCACTGCCTGCTGAGATATCTGGTTTCAGAATATTCTGAGGATGCAGAAATGATGTCCGGATTATTGGTATGGAAGTTGCTAAACTGCAGGTGGGGATGGTTAGGGAAACCAGTGGAAAGTTTCCAGGGAAAGACCTCCAATTGGTCTTGGAGCCAAGTGAGCAGGTCCAGAGAGAGAGAGCTCCAAGGGATGTTGGAACCAAGGCAGAGCAGGGGGCAGGCAGGAACTCGGGCAGAACAGAAGGCTGCAATAAGAGAGGGGGAAAAGGAACTCAATGCAGAATGGCAACGTTTACCGATATATCTGGATCCACAGCAACTGAGTTTACAACCTGGTTGTATGGAGATGACAGAGTTACCGGTATGAAGAGGCTTGATTATAGAGATTAGATGAAACCCAGCGACACCTGCAAACACCTGCAAACAAGGTGACAGACACATGCACACACACTGAGCCTTTCTCAAATCTCTCTTTCCATTTTTTAAACTTATCATTTTGATCTGATGTTGATAAGATAATTCCCTGTGAACATTAAACACTCCACAGTATATAAATACTGTTTTCAAGACTAATAGATAATTAATTAGATCCTGATTACAATGTTAACCCTTTGATATAAACATTTGTATGATACTTATATTCTTATCTCCTTTAAAAGTGTACCGAGCGTGTACCGAGCGTCTTCCATGATGAACAATGAAAAGGTGTAACACCTGTTTAATAAGACAGCATCAGTGCAGACTTGCTGTTAGAGGGTTTAATAACCCACTCTCACTCCACACTCCCAGGTTTTGGACTGCACTTAGTGTGGAGGACCCTCCACGCGAGCTCACAAACGGAGTGGAAGTGAGTGGGGAGTAGTTTGAGAAAGGCCCACTTTGCCCCAATTACTGTAAGAGGCTGCATCCTTTGGAGGGTGAGGAGAAAGCTGTCAAAATTCAAGACTCCTTCAAATGCTGCTGAAAAATACGTCCTCCTTTCCCCGGCCAACCAAGGATTGCTCTCAAGATATATCTCGCCAGGGGTGAAAGTAGTTTAAAATTATTGCCGGTACTACTAACACAACCTCCATCTCTGCATATTGGTAAACTCTCCTTGGCTTCAGGCCTCCTTAAAAAAATACTTCAATATTTAAGGATACCGTATGGAGTAGAAGAAAACTTGTTAACTTGTTTTTTTTATTATTCAAAGCATATTTAACATCTGAACAGTTTTCTTCTGTCTTTGACTTTTCAGAACATTTGACACAAAAAGATCATAATTTTATGAGCAAAAT